GGAAAATAGAACACATAGAAGGTAACAATATCACAAATAAAACATAGAGCTATTTCATTAATGATAAACTTTGTAATACAATGCATAAAAATTCGCATTAGAAGGCGTACAATAAATAGGGAAAATAAAATACGTCAGCATAACGGCTCTATGAGTAGTGTAGTCACTTAATCATAGAGTGAGTCAATAGTACAAAGAGAGAGGGCCCTATTGATAGGGGAGGTGATACTCAGATGTCGGAGTGACGCACCAAAGTTCAGCCAGTTCACTCATCTCCAGAGTGATTTGATCTCTCTCTTGCTATGCTCGAACTGCTCTTGCTTCTGTTGCAAAAAAGTTGTTGCCTGAGAGTGGCAACTTTTTCCTCCAAGGAGCGTGTCCGGTCTGTGGGGTCATCCTGTGCTATGTGTGGATCTAGTATTATTCCCGAAGGGTATGATTCGCTAGAAATTTCCTCCACCGCCTTCTCCCCCCCACCTGTATCCTCATCGGATCCGTCATCCTCGAAATCAGTCTCTTGATACTCTTCAGGTCCTATTCTTGGATCTGCCTCTTGAACCATTTTAGGTTTCTCCTCCATCCATCTATGGGCCACTAAGGTCTGAGAGTAAAGATCACATTGTTGGTATTCATCCATGATGTTTGTGCGAGAATTAGAGGTGTGACAAGTGTGTAAGGGGTGTATGTAGATAGCATTCTAAAATACTCCTATAGTATTTTAGTTGTTTATGTTTGAGTTCCTTAAAACTTGTTTGATACAAGGTTGGTAAGTTTCTAGATTCATTGCCCACCATGATCATTCCCAAAAACATGTTTGGTCGTATTTGGAATAAATATAGTTGATCAGACTATACTTACCCCCAATACGACTACATAACTATCATGGTTTAACCACGATGTTCAATTCCTCAAAAGACGTTATTATTATTGTAATAATGCACACATATGTATATATTTTATTTTATTTTTCAGAGTATTTTAGTCCCAATGTATTTATAGTTGCATATCTTGTATGATTAGATATACCGGTTCACTATAAACATTGCTCTGATACCAACATATCACACCCCCGAACCAGAACGGCAGAAACGTCCAGGGGTTGGTTGACTTCATCTTGTAATGTCATCATAGTGTAAATAATTGAATCAAGACAACATCATCATCACACATACAATAATACAACCATCATTGTTTACATAAGTGTGTTGGTTTACAAATTACATCCCAATTAAATAAGTGTATGATGATAACAAAAATACAACAAAATCCATGTGTTCTTGATGACCAACCTGCTTAACGTTTTCCTGATAATACAAGTTACTTTGAAAATGTCAACATATATAATGTTGGTGAGTTCATAAGCATGTTTGTATGAAATTTTTTGTATCACTTTGTAAACACTAGAAAATCCGATATTTTCTGTAAAAATAGTCTCAATGTTTTGTATCAAATCTTGTATTAAAGCATGTGTGTTTCTTTTTTGAAAATGTATAAAGAGAGTGTTCCAGAAAATCCTATATTTTTTGTTGTAAGTAGAAGGTATTGTATAAAATGTGTTGGATATATATCTGATAATATACGTTGCGCGAACAAAATATGGTTCTCTATGTGTTAAGATGTACATTATATGATAATAATTATAAAAATATTATTAATAAGAAGATAAAATAACTAATACTCTATGTTAAAATATACACTAAATTAGGATAGTGTTTCCTAAACAGAGTTGGTATTGAAAGTTGATTATAAGCGTTGTAGTCTTGCCTGGTAATAAGATAAGACTTATAAAGGATGCTTAGTTCAAATTGAGTTGAAAGAAATATTAGTTATAGCTTGCTCCATAAATATATTACATAGATAGGAAATTGATGTCGAAGGATGATTATGAGTATTGTAAACCTAAAGGAGATACTTAGTTCAATTAAGTTTGAATATTGGGTATCATCAGACTAAAGGTGTGTGTGAGATGGGAATGGAGCGTAGAACTATGTTCAATGATAATGATGACTCATGAGGGACGTTCTATGCACATGAGTGCTATATTAGTATCCCCCTTCCTTTTACTTATGAATGACCGGAGGGGTACATTTTACGTACATGAATGTTATTTTAGTATCCCCCTCCTTTATTTTTCACGAACTTCGTGTTTGTCATTTTTAATTACAAAGTGATCTGATGAACTTATGAGACTGCCAGATAGGGCGTGTCTATATCAGACTACTGCGATATATGTCTAAGTTAACTAACAAAGTATAAATGACCCCATATGACTTAATTGTCTTGTGGTGATAATGAATCATAATATACGCGGTGTCTGGATTATGTTTCACTCGTGTAATCCATTCAGAATCATACTATCTAAGGTGTTTGGATAGTATGTTGATTCGTGTGCTCCATTATGAATCATACTCTCTGGGGCGTTTGGATTGTGTATTCATTTGGGTCCTTGATTAGCCTTATATCTTGTCTTTATTGATCCTCGTCTGCTGTCTAGGAATTCCCTAAGCAGTATAGTCAACTTGTTCACAATGATCCATCTAGAAAGATCTAGTAAGATCGTTGTATAGAATCCACTTGTGAGGATGGACAGGATGGGATAAATTAGCGTTATAGATAAAAGATATATTTGTGTTGTTGATAATTGTTAGTTTTGTAGGTATGAGATATATATTATTATCATTAAAATATTGTGGGATTGAAAACCCTATGTATCTCACCAGGTTTCCCAACTTGACTTACTTATTTTATATGCATCACAGGCTTCGCATTTAGGACTGGTGAATATTTAAACATGATGTTAAGTGATTGAAGAGAAGACATGCAATAGTGTTCATGACCATTAGGTCTTTACGCTATAACATATGTTGTGTATCGAATATAATATGCTTAGAGTTTTTATCATTTAAGATAATATTTTGTTTTCAAAATATTATAATGTACTGGGAATTTCCGGTATAGAAGATATTATGAATTTTAAAGCTTAAAGAAAAGTTACTTTTTCGGTTCTGAAAAAAATAAGGGATGTCACAATATCTGACAGTAAGAGTTTCCTAACAATTAATTTGATGAGATTTTATACTCACCTGATGTTATAAATGACATAATTTCCGGGTTGCCTAGCCATAAGTTAATTTTAAAAGTTATTATTTAGGTTTTGTTACTAAGAAACATCAATCATAAAAATTACTTATGTAATAAAACTAAACTTCACGAGATATCATTGGATAATCATGTTATACAAACAGTTGTCATAACTGGAAGTGATATCATACATTGAACTTTTATTTCAAGTTTGTCTTTAACATATCCAGACGTCAAAATTCCATTTGAATTCAAAAAGAGGCAATTTATTGTGACTGTTTGTTTTGCTATGTCTATAAATAAAAGTCAAGATCATTTACTGTTAAAGGTTGAGTTATTTTTACGAGAATCAGTTTTCTTACATAATCAAATATATGTTGTTTTATCCAGAGTAAAGGGAGAAGATAAAGATTAACGTTATTGATTTTAGATAAAAATGATATTTTGACCAATACATAGAAGTGTTTCAAAGTGTAAGTTAAAAGATTTTTTTATTAATTATCAAATTAATTCAACTTTACTTGCAATCAGAAATACATTCCTTTTGATTTCGTTTACATTTAGTATAATTTTTTTTTTTTTTTTTTATATAATGATTTTTTGAACGTTAACAACTGTGGTTTCAGAGTTATAATTTAATGATTTATACTATGAGTTATAATTTAGTGATTTATACACACGAGATGAACCAATAAGCACCTTAAAGTGGTAACTGTTAAAACATATTTTAAATGATATCATAACCATGCATATTGAACAAACTTAATAGATGATAATTAATAATGTCATACGAAATTAATGATGTATTTAATTTGGACAAAGTTAATTTATGGGAATATTATAAGAAAAAAACTATTGAGCCTAAAATAGCTGATTTCTAATTAATGACCACATAAATTATTTTTGTTAGAATATCATCCTATCTTTTTGTCATACTTTTCTTCTTATTTATTTAAAATGATAACAAGTATACAAATTTAAAATCTCAATCAAATTTAAATTAAATTTAATAACACTTGTTACCATCTAAAATAAGTTGGAGGATATTAACAATAAAAAGTAAGAGGATATTTAATTTCTCTATTTTTGTTTACTTTGTATCAAGCTATTAAACAATTAATACTTTTTCATAATATAAACGGACTATTTTTTTATTATTATTGATCATTTTCTCTTAGTAATTAATCTTTTTAGCTAATGTCGATTTTCTCATTCATTATGCCATTTTTTTTATCGATAATATAAACAAATTAAATAAACTGTTTTGTATAACTTAGTAAGATAATTGGTTATATTTCACATACTTACTCTCTAAGTTATGTCTACCGACTACCAAATGCAAGTAATCGACATGAAATTTTGTTTTTTGTTTTTCTTTATTTTATTTTACTACTCGCAATATTTCAGAGAGCATTCAGAATTTGAGCTCTTTTACCTATAGAGAATTTTTTCTTCTCTATAGGGCGACACCATGACACCACAAGAGATGGTTTAAGGAATCGAACTCTCAACCTCGCACCCACAATCTAACTAGACTCCCACCCACAATCTAACTTGACCGGACATCACACTTGAAGATCATGAGAGGAAAAATAAGAAGTAATTTGTGATATATAGAATTGAAGATCAAAAATCCCAAGCGTGGTCCGCCTTGCAAGTGATAGCCATGCCTACAACTAAAAGCGAGCTCCACCATTATTATGAAGTAGTTAGATGGAACGATTACGGCTACACATCAATTAAAGGTGTTGAAGGTTCCATTAATATTCATTCCAAATTCTAACCAAAACCAATCCATTCACAAACAAATAGACATGGACAAGAATCCCTATAAATACCTTTGACAACGATTCTTGCACCAAATACATTTTCAATCTCATATAAGTTTCCTACGCCTTTAGTGCTTGTATACTTGAAAAATGGCGAGGATGCTAACGATGGTCTTATGTGTAGTGGCGACTTGCATGGTGGTGGCGGCACCTTATGCAGAGGCTGATATTTCCTGTCGTCAGGTGATAAAGATCTTATCTCCATGCATTGACTACCTAACAGAAGGTGGTGGTGTGTCAACGGTATGTTGCAATGGAGTTAGGGCACTCAATAACGCTGCAAATACAACCTGTGATCGTCAGATGGCTTGTCGCTGTTTAAAGAGCGCCTCTGCGGAAAATTCCGGAATCAATCCTATCAATGCTGCTAGCCTCCCCCACAAGTGTCGTGTCAACATCCCTTACAAGATCAGTCGTAGCACTAATTGCACCCAGTACGTTCAAATATATATATGCTTATATTTTCTTTTTCTTAGTCACAAATCTAATTACACATCTATTGACTTAAATATTGCATGGACAGACATTAGTTGTATTGATATATGGTGATTTTTGCAGGGTGCAGTAGTTAGCTCGAGATGTTAATGCATGTTCTGAAGAATAAAAGCATATATATTACAATAAATATCGAGAGCACTATTTTGTTTGAATAATGCATATATTACTGTATATGTCTATGATTTTTACGGCCTTTAAATTTGACTGGTGCTCTTGTAATATTTGTATGTCATCACCTTATTTATATGCCTCCTTTTAAAAAAAAAAAAAAAAACGACGGAATCCTATTCAAACGAAACTGGTGCGTTGCTAGAAAAGTAATTAACAACATATACAAACTACAGAAATAAGAGAATTACACTAGTAAAACCAAATTATATGCCTTCTATCCTACTCCTAGATTTTTTCGGTAATGTCGTTTTCTTAATAGCAGCAAATGTTTATTAACTCATCACACGTGCAAATTAAGGTTAAAGTCCAATAGTTTTATAGACAAATTGTATACAATGAAAGTTATGGTTTTGTCAAGATTGTTTATAGACAAATTGTTTATTATATAAAATAGAGCACGATACAATGAAAATTATGGTTGTCAAGACTTTATATACGATCTTTTTATATTTTGTAAAATCGTAAAATCAAAACCAATCATAAGATCTTATCATTTCGAAGAAAAAAAATGCATTTTCATCCATAATTTAACCATTCGGTTAACATTACATAGTTTAAAACTGTTGAAAGTAATAAAGGTTCAATCTCATATTTATTAACTTAAAATGTGAAGTTTTTGATAATAAAGGGTGAAAGTTGGTCAATATATATTTTGTGAATGTTAAGTAAAATTGCAGGAGAAATACACGGGTCAAAAGATGGATCAGTTTTGCGGGTTTGGGTTTGCTCCATATGTGAGTAACCGTACTTTATATACGAAGGAAGTCCCTGTTCATCAGATCTTATCACTTCCAGATCTAGAGATAGGGTTTCTTGTGTAGGGTTTCCATCTACTCGTTCCTTTCTGATCTTGTTTGTTCATCTGTTACGCTAATGAATTGTTGTTCTATTGTTTAAGTATAGTATTTCAGATGAATAGATTTGTTTTGATTGTTTAGATTAGGATTGAGTGATAAATCGAGAGAGTAGTATAGCTTCTTTGTAGTAAGGTTTCATTTGTAAGTACCTGAAAACCTTTTGTTTCTTAATCCTTAAATGATATAAGAAATGAAGATGTTGGGAAATTTATATTGTCTATTTTCAACATGGTATCAGAGTAGTAAGGCTCGTGTTTCTTGATCCTGGCGCTTCAATTAGTTGGTTGTTCGTCTTCTTGTGATTTCCGCGTTGACGATCTGTCGAAAAGGTATTGTTGCTTTTTCAGCTTTGTTCCTTTTTAGGGTTTTGTTATAGTTCCCTAAACACGATCTGGTTCTTTTTTGAGTTTTTGGTATTGCGAGTTTTCTTGTTTGATCTTGCAGATTAACAAGTTTCTTGTCCTAGCCGCTGTCTGCCGTTGTGATCTTTGGATTAATCGATCAATCCCTCTAATCTGAAATAACTCTCTTGGGGTCGGGTTTCATCACCGATAAACCTTAGAGGGAACGAATTCAGGGAGTTAATTCTAATAAACTTTTGTTGCCTATAGCACTGTGAGGCTTTCTCATTCTCTTTACTCTTTTTTAGTTATTAGTTGTGGGTGATTCTGGTGTCTTGTGTACACCAGTTGTTTGTTGGTTGTTTTCTTCAAGATTGTTCTAGTTTTTTAACTCTGTGTTGATTGTCTTGGGCCCCGACATGCTGTGGTGACCATCTGGACTAAAAGTCAACACAGGGTTTGCATCTTTTTTTTACCTTTGTTGCTATTTGTTATTTTTTTGTTTCTTTTGTGATTCTTTATGGTTGGTGGTTCACCTGAAGGGAGTAGTACTCCTAAAGATATTCCTGTGGACTTTAATGATCCCATATATGTACATCCTTCTGATAATTTTATGACTTCTATTATAACAATCAATCTGTCTGGTAATGAAAATTATAGGTTGTGGCGTAGTGCTATGACTAGGGGTTTAAAAGCTAGAAACAAATTAGGGTTTGTAGATGGTACTATTACTCCTGAAAGCACTGAAACTTCTAAAGCTTCTAAGTGGGAACGTGTTAATGCTGTTGTTAATAATTGGATTTTGGGTTCAATTTCTGAAAGTATATATGCGAGTCAGGTCTATTCTAATAAGGCTAAGGATATTTAGGATGAGTCGTTTGAAACTATAATAAGGCCGATGGTTCTGTAATCTTTAACATACATCAACAGATTAATACCTTAAAACAAAATGGATTTCTGATTACTATAATAAAGTAGATTCCTTGTGGAAATAGTTTGATGGTTTGACCAGTCTAACTGAATGTGTTTGTGAAGCTGCAACTAAACTTAGTGATCATTCAAAACTAATGAAGTTAATGTAGTTTCTAAGTAGTCTTGATGATGTTTACAATCAAGTTAAAAGTCACATTCTTTTGATGCAACCTTTGCCTAATGTTACGTCAGCCTTCTCTATTCTATCTAGAGAATAGTCTCTTCAAAAGAATGGTTCCTTAAGTTCTATTGTCTCTTGTAAACCACAAATTTCAGGTTTTAATAGTAAAGTTAATGATTCTAAAAGAGGACAAGCTCAAACGAGGTTCAGAAATCAGAATTTACATTGTAAACATTTCAATCTTAAAGGTCACACAATACAGAGGTGTTATAAGTTGATAGGTTATCCAAAAGATTTTAAGCAAAAGGATGAAAAAGTTATTCAGAATAGATCTTTTTTTATAAATTATGCTTATGTTGGTTCTAATGGTAAAACGGTAGCTTCTTCTGAGTCTGTTCATGATGGTGATGCTCACTATCTCACCAGTGAACAATACGCCAAATTTCCTCGTGTCATTAATGAAAGTTCTACTAGTGAGGATTTATCTGATGCAGCAAATATGGCAGGTACATATATTTTTTCATGTTGTAATTCTGTTGCAATTCCAATCAAAGTTGGATTGTTGACTCTAGGGCAAATCAACATATGATAGCCTCTGAGTCACATCATCAAGATACAGTGGATGTATCTAGACTTAATCTTCTTGTAAAACATCCAAATGGTTCTTCTGCTCCAATTAATAAAATAGGAAACTTACAGTTATCCTCTCACCTTACTTTATTTGATGTATTTTTTGTTCCAGACTTTAATGTGAATCTCTTGTCTGTACATAAACTATGTTAGGATAGTGGTTGTGAAGTTATATTTTTTGAACATAATTGTAAAATCCAGGATTCACTATCAAAGGATATGGCGGAGAATGGTAGAGAATTTGGGGGACTGTATTATCTTGATCATGTTCCCTCAGGTAATTCTGCTAGTATAACTAATAACTCTAAATGTTATGTTTCAATATTAACTTCGCATAGTAGACTTGCTCATCCAGCTGATCAGGCTTTAAGTGTTTTAAAAGGTTAGCTGAGAGTATTTGGGTGCAAGGCATTTGCACATGTATCAAATGAATTACGGAAGAAGTTGGACATCAAATACACTCCATGCATCTTTATTGGATATGGAGATGAAGAGTTCGGGTACAGACCATGGGACCCAGAACTAAAGAAGGTTATTCGAAGTAGAGATGTGGTTATCCATGAAAAACAATATCATGATTTCAAGGAATCGATTAACGAGCAACTAGGCTCCAAAATAACATCTGAAAATATAGAAGATGTTTCTGCTGAAGAAGTGGATGAAGAAGTCGATGATGCAGATCGAGAAGGTGTTGAGTAGGGGGGCTTCCACCCCATGATACTTTAGATATATTCCCAGAAGTTACAAACGAAGGAACTCAAGTTAGACGATCCGAACGAGTACGTGCTCCATCATCAAGATATCCGACTTCAAAAAACATCCTTCTTACTAGTGAGGGGGAGACAAAAAGCTTTCAAGAAGCTCAATCTCATATTGAAAAAGCAAATTGGCAGAAGGCCATGGAAGAAGAAATGAATTCTTTGCAGAAGAATCAAACATATGAGTTGGTAAAACTTCCCAAAGGAAAGAAAGCCTTGAAAAACAAGTGGGTTTTCAAACTGAAGAAATACGGAAAGGGAAATACTATGAAGTATAAGGCGAGACTTGTTGGCAATGGTTTCCAAAAGAAAAAGAAGGAATTTACTTTGATGAAAATTTTCCACCTTTTTTTGAAGATGATGTCTATTCGAGTTGTACTCGGATTAGTTGCGAGTCTAGATCTTGAACTTGAGCAAATGGATATGAAAACAGCCTTTCTCCATGGTGATTTGGATGAAGAAATATACATGGAGCAGCCCGACGACTTTAAAGTCCCAAAGAAAGAGCATCTTGTCTGGAAATTAAAAAATAGACTTTATGGTCTTAAGCAAGCCCCAAGGCAGTGGTAAAGAAGTTTGATTCATTTATGATGAATCATGAGTACAAGAGAACCGTTGCAGACCATTGTGTATATCTGAAGAAGTTTCCAGATGGAAAATTTGTCATCCATTTGCTCTACGTGGATGATATGTTGATAGTGGGTCAAGATACAACAATGATAAACAACTTGAAGAAGGATTTATCTAAATTCTTTGATATGAAAGACTTAGGCCCAACATAATAGATACTGGGAATGAAAATTATTCGTGATAGAAAATCAAGAAAGTTATTTTTATAATAGGAGGATTATGTTGAATGTCTAATCAAAAGGTTTAACATGGAAAATGCAAAGCCCGTTGGAACACCCTTGGCTAATCACTTCAAGTTGAGTAAGAAATATTGTCCCTCTTCTAACAAAGAAAAAGAAGAGATGAAAGCAATCCCCTATTCCTCAGCTGTAGGAAGTCTTATGTACGCAATGGTATGTACAAGACCAGATATTGCTCATGCTGTTGGTGTTGTGAGTAGATATCTAGCTAATCTAGGAAAACAACATTGGGAAGCAGTCAAATGGATACTTCGATACCTGAAGGGTAGTTCGAAACTATGTTTATGCTACAAGGGAGCAAATCCAATTATGGAAGGTTATACAGATGCCGATATGGCATGCGATCTTGAT